CTCGCTAGGCGAACAGGGTAGCGAGTGTGACAACATGTTATTTTCTTGTGTGTTCCATTCAATTGTTAATTGTTTGGTTCAATGATGTTAATCCTTATGCAACGTGAATAGTTTGTGTATTATTGTGATGAGACGTGTTGTGGGTAGCCTCATGTCGTGAAGCCTAGATTGAGGAGTATGGCCTTTTGGCAATTATATGCATCGTTTGAATTAAACATGAATGCATGATGAATGTGATGATGTGTGAAGTAGGTTGAGAATATGTAAGCGTGCGAGATTCTTACTCACTGAGGTAGAATGACAAGGTGTCGTTCCTAGTGTACTAATCACCGGGGTAGAATAACTGTGATGTTGTTCCTGGTGGGGTATATGTGTTATACCCATAATCCAAATGAGGATTTGCGGGAGTTGAGGAGTTTATATGAGTCATATGGTATGTGTATGTGATTGTTGTACGAAAGTGTGAGATGTGGCCGTTTGGAAATTATGTGTATAATTGTACGTACTTGTGCGGGGTAATGCGTAATTGTATATTTTTGTGTATACGTATGCATTTCAAGAGTGTGTGGTGTCATTGTGCGTGTGTAGCATCATGATTTCATTCTTGTGTCTTGATCCCGTGGAGGATCTGCAGAAACCTCGTGTGCCCTTGTGGGGTGTGAGCGATGGTTTATTCTTGATCCCGTGGAGGATCTGCAGAAACCTCGTGTGTCCTTGTGGGGTGTGAGCGATGGTTTATTCTTGATCCCGTGAAGGATCTGCAGAAACCTCGTGTGCCCTTGTGGGGTGTGAGCGATGGTTTATTCTTGATCCCGTGGAAGATCTGCAGAACGACTGTGTGGCCTTGTGAGGTGTGAGCAATCCTGAAACATCGTGTGCCCATGTGGGGTGTGAGCGATGGGTGAACATCGTAGGTCCAATGGGGAGTTACTTCGGTAACGAGCGATGGTTCCTTTGGTTCTTCAATTGAACCTGCTGAATGAGTCGGTATCGCATTTGCATCTGCATAGAGTCGTGAGTCGGTCTCTATGAGTTGCATTATCATCTCTATATGATGGATTGGTGAATAAACATGTTGTGTGAGTGCATGTGAATTGATGAATGTACTTAAGTAGGTAAATGTATTGTGGTGAGAAAATGTGGAATATATGTATTTGGTATTTGTGCATTTATATATGTGATTATATGCATTGTTATTATGATAATATTTCTCACCCTTCTACCGGAATGATGTCCTTCATGACATCGTGCAGGTTTTAAGGCGTAGTACTGCTCGTAGTTGCGAGTCGCTTTTGGTGTAGCTGTTTAGTAATTTAATTTTATTGGGTCGAGTCGTGCTCTGGTCATGTAACACTGGGATCGTTTGGGTTATGTTTCTGATGTATTTTGTGTTGTTGGCCTCCGTGCCTAAGTGATGTTGATTTATGTGAGAAATGCAATTATTTCTTTTATGTAAAATACGTGATGTAAATGAATCTGCTGTTACATGCAAATGAAATTTTGTAAAGTATGATTATTTATTTCAGTGTTTTTGAACATGACAGGTGGTTTTTAGTAATTTGGTATTATATGTGTGACACCCTTTGTGGATGCATGTTACTTTACTCTAATTATGCTTATTTTTCCGTGGGGTTTAGAAGGGTGTTACAACTACACTCTGCATGGCTACACTCTACGTGGCTACACTCTACGTGCCTACAAGATTCTCTGCACGACAAGACTACACTTTGCATGCCTACAAGATTCTTACTAATAAATGTCTAGCTACACTATTAGTCTCGCAGGTATTGTTTTACACGCTTTCTTACTAATAAATATCCTTGTCATCTTGTTTTCTAAAAATGTTATCCAGACAACTTATCACAACATAAACGACAAAAAAAAATTATTTGTTTATAAGTTACGAAATTAAAAGAATAAATAAATATGTGATCATAAATTTGATAGTTATTTACAAAAATCAACACAAGAATTTGTAATATGTGATCATATATTTAAGACTACACTATACGTTGCATACTTGTAATAAAGGAAAAAATATGGGATCATATCTTTGTAATAAAGGAAAAAATAAATATGTGATCATATCTTTAAGACTACACTCTATCAATCAATGACTGTAAGATTCTCTGCATACTAATGACCAAGAATCTTGTAAAACAAGACTACACTTGCACGCTTCCCTTCACCATTGTCATAAAAATTCAGCATGCATTAATACCCTAGCAGAATTTTTATCACTCCTCAGACATTACAAACTCTACTCCTCAGACGTTCAACAAAATCTTCTCATCACTCTACAGACTTCACTCATCAAACTTAACCCACGATATCTCTATTCACAATGGGCAACAATCACAGAGGAACAATTGAGAACATTGCATAGTTTGTATGTATTTTGCTTTTTGTTGTCATTCTTTACTAAGTTGAATTTTCCTTTAAAACTAATGATCTTTATATTCTTTTGCAGAATGTATCAAGGTTTCGCTGTCGTGTGCATGACTACATACCACACGACCCATTCATAGAACGATACCTATAAGCATGTAGGTTTGGTGATTTGATAAAAATCAAATTGTACTCACTGGACCCCAAATTTATTTTAGCAATGCTAGAATACTGGAGACCAGAAACCCACACATTTCACCTACCTTTCGGTTAATATATCGTAACTTTACAAGATGTCTACATGTTACTTGGCCTACACATTAATGGTAAGGCCGTCAACAGAAAAGTTGGTGTTAATGACCAACTTTGTGAAGATTTACTGGGCACCCCTCTATGTGTCGACACACCTCAGCCACAACGTGAAGGTCGACCGAGGAGGCAAGGTATTAATTTGAAATACCTTAGAGAACACTACAATAGTATCGTGTTAAATGAGGAATCCACCGATTATGAAAAGATACTTAAAACTCGATGCTATACTATGATATTATTTGGCCATTTTTATTTCCAAAAAGTACTAGAAATACTGTAAATATTATGTATTTACCGTTGTTGCACAACATTAATAAAGTGTGCACATATAGTTGGGGCTCAGCTGTCCTAGCCCATCTATTTGTGCAATGTTTCTAAGTAACTAATTTATTTATGTTTCTTTCTTCTAGGTGGTGTGTTCCGAGAATGAATTACCAAATATGTCCTAGGAACTCCATAATCGTGTACCACAACCTTATAGAACACATTGGGCATACGATGTAATTTATCTAACAACGATGTCCCATTACTTTGTCTAATTAATAACCATATACTTGTATTTCTTATTAAATATATTGTTAATGTAGTTTGTCAGGATGTCGTACGAGGGTCTCGACCATCAGCCCAACGCCAATGATGTTGTCGTGTGGACATCTAAAACACCTATCATTCAGTTCACTACAGTGGAGATGCACCAAAGTGATCGAGTGGAACTACAGTTCGGGATGCATCCGGATATTCCAGTCGCTCCAACATCTTGGACACTAGCATCAGCTAAGGCTGGATACACAATGAAGTGTAAATCATTGGAAGGACTTTGCAAAAGAGATGTGTCTACATTGGAAGAACCGACATCAACACATCTTAACTGACCCTATTGTAGAAGGGGCTATACCAAGTTATGAATATATGATTTGGTTTAGGTCGGTTACAACATCACAACAATTTGTGTCTGAGCCGACATATTTGATTGACCCAAGGCAACGTGCGTCTTCCTCGAACCCACAACAACAACCCAATTCCCAACATTAAACATCATGCTATACCCAACATCCAACTATGCCCACCCAATCAATCTTCCAAAACCGCAACCCATACATGCCACCAACCCAATTACAACAACAAGAGCCCTACCCCTACCGCCAGCCTCCCGAAATCGACACCACTTCTGCATGTAGCCCTGATACATCTTTTGACCCTACCCCATCCACCTATAGCCCAGATAACTCTTTTGACCCCACACCAGTCAATCAATCTTCCTACCAACAAAATACTTATCCACTTTATGACTATCAAACCCTACAACAACCATTACATCGTTTCCAAACTGGTTCAATGTACCAATTCGGACAACCATACCGTCCACACCCGACCCAGCCTCCCCGACAAAACTACGAAAACATGGGCATTGAACTTAATTACGGAAGCGCCGTTGGCAGTGGCCCGCCCGACTATTGGGGTCAAATGCTTCAAAATTCATTTGATACACCGGGACCATCTCAACAAATACCTCTTCCACAGGTCAACACGAAAAGACTAGATGCACCTCAACAACCTCGACGCCGTGCAAATCCTCTTCAATGTGGAACCGGTGGTCGCTTTGATATAGCTGGTCATTGATTTTTATTTTTTCATCTGTTGGATAATATTGAAACTTTTTTATTTTATAAATATTATAATTTTTTATTTCTTTTAATTATTTTTTTTCAAAATATGAAATAATATATATATATATATATATATATATATATATATATATATATATATATATATATATATATATATATATATATATATATATATATATATATATATATATATATATATATATATATATATATATATATATATATATATATATATATATATATATATATATATATATATATATATATATATATATATATATATATATATATATATAAAATAGCATGCCCTGAGGCGCCATACCATACAGTGCCTCCTCTGTGGGTTAGGGTAGGGTTTTAGGACGCGTCATACCATATGGCGACTCAGTCTTGTGTTTTCTTCCCTTGTGCCATATGAAATAGCGACTCAGTTGGAGGCCAACTTAATCAGCCATTTTATATGGCGATCAATGTTAAAAGATAACTACTTTGGTAATTTTTTTTTTTAATTTTATGTTAATTTAGTATTTTAATTGAAAAATAAGATTATATTAAAAAAAAAAAAATTGAGTTGAACAACTGAATGGTATTTAGCCTAAAATAACAATCCACCAAGAATGAAAGGTGAATATATTTTAAAAAAATAAATAATTACAGATATACATTAATAAATTAAATTTGTGAGTCAAACATAAAGTGGTTGTTTGTCTGCATCTCTCTAAGCAACAAGTCACACTCATTCAACAAAGAATCACTTATAATAAAAGAGCTTCTTCCATCATGATCATTTTCACAAGCAGCTGCTTCATCAAACTCACTTAAATTATATCTTTTTCTCTTAACTTTTTTACTTTCTGTAGCTTCATCATCAACACGGTCATCAGAAGAATGCTTACCAGTTAGCTTCTGCACAACAGACTTAAAATTCATGACATCGGTTTCCACATATTGTGTAGTGATAATCACAATCTTTACTGGCTTCTTCTTATTGCTGCAATCACCACTAGCCATCTATAACTTCGCCTCTGGAATAATTAAAAGCTAGAAAAGATGCTCAATTTTTTAATCTAAGCAAGTTTTTTTTCTCTTACTTTTATTTGAATGTGCTGTGAATTATATATATTTATATTAATGGATGTTATCATGTACGGTTGAGTTGACGATTGAGAAAAGTTGAGAAAGTCATTAGATGATATAAGCTGACCGTTGGTTTGTAATATGTGAATGAGTCTGAAATATATGAAAGTGTTAGATATGGTCAATTTATGATGCTATCTGTCATGCTCTTTCAACTCATAATTGTGGCCACATAAAATTTTCATGGAGGAACCATCTTAAATACTTACGGTTTATATCAATTTTGAGACAAATAAAATTATTTATTCCGAAAATAAATTTATCTATGACTCAGTTTTGTTTAGATGATATGTAAAAGAAAATTCATCTTATTTTGATAAATTTAATTTTAAAAATATTTAATAGTCAAATTAAAAATATAAATAAAATTATGTTAATGTTAATATTAATATAAAACATAGATATAATAATATACTTTATGTTAGTATTAATGTTAATAAAATCATGTTAATTTTAATATTAATAATGTTAATGTTACTAATGTTAATGTTAAAGTTATGATAATGTTTATATTTTATGTTACTTTTAATATTAATATTAGAATTAATAAAATTATGTTAATGTTAGTATTAATCATGTTAAAATTATTAATGTTAATGTTAAAATTATGCTAATTTTAATATTTTATGTTAATTTTAATATTAATATTAGTTTTAATCAAATTATGTTAATGTTAATATTAATAATAATAATAATATTGTGAGATATTGGATCGATCTCTAGTATGGTCGAAGGGTAACTTCTGGTTCGACAGGAATTAAGCATGAGGTCGAAGTTTATTTGGATGTTTTTGCCGGAGTAATGCGTGTTGTAGTAGAAGTTTGTTCTAACATGCATTAGTCAATATTGCTAGGTTTGTTAGCATATTGAATTGGGCCTTACTTGTAAGTCCACTTGTTTAAGTTAGCTTGTACCATAAGTTAGCTTGTAATGAGTAATTCTTAAAATGCACATTAGGTTAGTGTGCAAATTTTCTTCTAAATAGCATGCTAGTCTCTCATCTTGGTATAAGAAAAAATAGGAAGATAAAATCCTAATTTCAAGTGAGAGAGGTTATTTTGTTATTCTTGTATACTTGTAATTGTGTTCTAAGATAAAGGAAAGAATAACAGTTTGTAACCAATTCTTGTTGTTTTACCTTGTTTTCTTTGTTAACCCTAATCCTTGTGTATTTCTTGATCATAAAGAAACAGTTTATACTTTGCTTCAAGGTATCCGATTCACAACAAATTGGTGCAGTGAGCGTGGAGAAGATGCCTTCAACAAAGTATGAGATTGAAAAGTTCACCGAAGTGAACGACTTCGGTCTGTGACGCTTGAAGATGAAAGCCTTACCGATTCAGCAAGGTTGTTTGGAAGCGTTGAAGAGAGAGGCAGCCATGGACACTATGTTAATGGCAAAAGAAAAGACGGCATGATTGAGAAAGCCCACAATACAATATTGTTGAGCCTTGGTGATAAGGTTCTTCGACAGGTATCAAAGGAGACTATAACATCGGGGTTATGGGTGAAACTTGAAAGTTTGTACATGACCAAATCTCTGGTGAATCGACTCTACCTGAAGCAGTCTTTGTATTCATTCAAGATGAGTGAAGAAAAAGTGTTAGCTGGGCAGTTGGATATGTTTAACAAGCTGATTCTTGATCTTGAAAATATTGATGTGAAGATTGATGATGAAGATCAAGCATTGTTGTTGTTGTTGTGTGCTTTTCCCAAAACACATGCTCACTTCAAAGAAACTCTCTTGTATGGAAGAGAGTCCCTGAGCTTTGAAGAAGTTCAATCAACCTTGTATTCTAAGGACTTGAACGAACGAAAGGAGCATAATCCTTCGATGGTGGGAGAAGGTTTGACCTTTAAGGGAAAATTCTTGCGAAAGGATGGTAAGTTCGACAAGAAGAAAGGTAAAAGTCAGAAGAAGTCTTAATATATGGTATTCGATGTTCTCACTGTAAAAAGGAGGGTCACACAAGAAAGGTGTGTCCTAAACTCCTGAAAGATCATGAAGGTAAGGATAATGGAAACACAACCGTTGTTCAAGATGACTTTGACTCATCTGATGTTATTGCGGTTTCATGCGGCGACTCAAGAAAGGAGTGGATTGTGGATTCAGGTTGCACTTGATTAAAAAGTTCACCATAGTGAACGACTTCGATCTGTGGCGCTTGAAATGAAACCCCTAATGGTGCAGCAGCGTTGTTTAGAAGTGTTGAAGGGAGAGGCAACCATGGACCCTGCGTTAATGCAAAAGAAAAGACGGTCATAATTGAGAAAGCCCACGTCGCAATATTGTTGAGCCTTGGTGATAAGGTTCTTCGACAGGTATCAAAGGAGACTACACCATCGGGGTCATGGGTGAAACTTGAAAGTTTGTACATGACCAAATCTCTGGTGAATCGACTCTACCTGAAGCAAGCTTTATATTCATTCAAGACGAGTGAAGACAAAGTGTTGGCTGAGCAGTTGGATATGTTCAACAAGTTGATTCTTGATATTGAAAATATTGATGTGAAGATCGATAATGAAGATCAAGCACTGTTGTTGTTGTATAATTTGCCCATAACACATGCTCACTTCAAAAACACTCTCTTGTATGGAAAGGAGTCCCTGAGCTTTGAATAAGTTCAACCGCCTTGTATTCCAAGGACTTGATCAAACGAAAGGAGCATAAACCTTCGACAGTGGGTGAAGGTTTGGCCGTTAAGGGGAAATTCTTGCGAAAGGATGGTAAGTTCGATAAGAAGAAATGTAAAAGTCAGCATAAGTCTTATAGTGGAGAAACATCTGGTATTCGATGTTATCACTGTAAGAAGGAGGGTGACACAAGAAAGGTGTGCCCTGAACGCCTGAAAGATCATGGAGGTAAGGATAACGGCAACGCAACCATTGTTCATGATGACTTTGACTCATCTGATGTTCTTGTGGTATCATGAGGCGGCTCAAGAAATGAGTGGATTATGGATTTAGGTTGCACTTGGCACTTGACTTCAAACTGAGGATTGTTCGAGGAGCTATGTGATCAAGATGGTGGATCGGTGCTGTTGGGAAACAAAAAATCTTGTAAAATTGCAGGTATTGGATCTATGAGACTCAAGTTCCATGATTAGTCAATAAGGTTATTGACTGAAGTCAGGTATGTACCTGATTTAAAGAGAAATTTGATTTCTCTTCGTGAATTCGACAGAAAGAGATACATTTTTCAAGGAGAGAAAAGTATCCTAAGAGTCATGAAGGGATCGAAGGAAGTCTTGAGAGGTGTGAAGAAATAAGGCTTGTATACCCTTGAGGATGAGGTTGTAAGTGGTTCAAAAAATGTTACATCCATGAAACATGTGTCGAAGACAGAATTATGGCACATGAGATTGGGCCATGTCAGGGAAAGAGACCTGGTCGAATTGGGGAAGCAGAACCTGCTAGGAGGTGACAAAGTCGAAAAGTTAGAGTTTTGTAAATCTTGTGTGTTTGGTAAATCATGTAGGGAAAAGTTTAACAAAGGCAAGCAAAGAACACATGGATCCCTGGACTACATTCATGCTGATCTTTGAGGGCCTGCAAGGAATCCTTCACACTCAGGTGCAAGGTATTTTCTATCCATTATTGATGAATATTCCAAAAAGCTATGGGTATTCATCCAGAAGATGAAGGATGAAACTTTTGAGAAATTCAAAATTTGGAAGGTTCTGATCGAAACTCAAACTGGCAGAAAGATTAAGAGGTTGAGAACCGACAATGGCCTTGAGTTCTACAATGAAACGTTCGACAATTACTGTGTTGAGTCTGGGATTGCAAGGTATAAGACTATACCAGGTAATCCTCAACAAAATGGCTTAGCTGAGAGATTCAATCGAACAATCCTTGAAAGGGTTAGATGAATATTGGTTGGTGTTGGATTGAAGAAGGTATTTTAGGCGGAGGCTGTTTCGACAGCAAATTATCTGATAAATATATGTCCCTCGACTACCTTGGGATTGAAGACACCTGAAGAATTTTGGTCGGGACATGCACCTAGTCTCGGAAGAGTGAGAGTATTTGGCTGTGTGGCCTATGCTCATATTAGGCAAGACAAGGTCGAACCTAGACCTCTGAAATGCATGTTCATTGGATACCCTGAAGGATTCAAAACTTATAGGCTATGGTGCCTAGAGCCAGGTCACAAGAGGTGTATCATCAGTCGAGATGTAGTTTTCAATGAAGCTGAGATGAATTTCAAGAAAACTGATGATGCTGACGAAGAGTTGGAATAGGGAGAGATTCCTGTTGAGGTGGAGCATGTTGATGCTGAAGTGCGTATCCCAGATGAAGTCGAATAAGATGCAGAAGATGTTGTCGAAGATGAGGAGATTGATAATGACTACCTGCTAGAAAGAGACAGGTCGAGGAGAGTCATCAAGCCACCTCAGAGATTTGGGTATGCAGATCTTATAGCTTATGCCTTAATCTTTGCAAGTGAGGTTCTAGACGATGAACCTAGAAACTATAAGGAAGTTATGAGGAGTCGAAAGAAGACTGAATGGATGAAGGCCATGGATGATGAGATGAAATATCTTTGAAATTCTGGTATGCAGATCTCATATGTTCCAAGAACATTGATCTCTACTCAACAAGGACGAGGACAGACGATGACCAATTTAAATTTCTTTAAATTATCCAACGTCATGACGTCTGTTGTGACATCTGCATACTGACCAACTATTTTATCTAAACATTTAAATTGTGCAGAGTTGTAAATGCTGAAAGATAAATAACACAGTAATTGTTTACCCAATTCAGTGCAACATCACCTACATTTGGGGGCTACCAAGCCAGGGAGGAAATTCACTATTAGCAGAATCAATTCAAAGTCAAACAACCAGTTTGCACTTCTCACTTAATCT